AGGAGCAGATATACAGCACCTTCATGCACGTTCTTCAGAGCTGACTCCAGAATGTCATCGATGGTAAAGTTAAAGAGAAATGGAGAGATTGAGAAACCCTGTCTAACCCCACTGTTGGCTGGGAACAGTGATGATAGTTGGTTGTATGCCCTCACTCTACCCGATGTGTTTCTGTATAGAGCTTTCAAGATGTTAACAAATTTCTCAGGTACACCTCTCTCTAACAGACAGTTTCAGAGCACAGTTCTGTCCAACGAATCGAAGGCAGACCTAATATCAGGAAACACAACGATCGTTGGCCTGCAATACGTGTGGCGCTGTTCCAACAACTGACGAAGGGTGAACACATGATCAATGCATCCACGACCTGAACGAAACCCAGCCTGCTCTTCACGAATAAATCCCTCACGTATTTTGCACAGCCTGCGAAGCAAGACAGCAGCCAATATTTTAGACGCCACTGGTAGCAGACTGATACCCTTATGGAAGGTGGCAACTCGAACTGCTGCACTTCGGTGCCAAGTTCTATGTTGAATCCAGACAGACAGACAGACACGAATTACATCGACCCTTTTTAAAGATGGGGACGACAATGGCTTCGTTCCACTTTGATGGTACACTCTCTGTCTCCCATACCTTCCTGAACAACCCAGTTAGAGCCATTGTGAGAGTCTCGCCACCATCTTTAAAAAGAGCCGAGGGTATATTGTCTGGGCCGGACGCCTTATGGCGTTTCACTACTTGGAGTTCCTTAGATTGGTGAGTCGGCACTAACCGACTAAGAAGCACTGGAGCTGGTAGCCAGCTGAAATGCCTCCTGAAGTGCTCTGCTCAGCGTTCCAGGCTGGTAATTGGAGTGGCATCTGCCTCACAGACCGTCTCGCTAACACCTTGTTTCTTGCTGCCGGTGGCTCGGATGAGCTGGAACAGCTTCCGACTGTTGCCAGATGCAACAGCTGACTCCATCTCACAAGCACATCCCGACCACCAGGCTTCGCAGTCCATACGTAAATATTGTCTAATCTTGCGCGTAGGTGCCTTTCGCATATTGTTGTATTCGCTGCCAGCCGGAATGAACCGGCATTCATCCAGGAGTTGCAAGGAACTCGCAACAACCCAGTGGTTTTTAGAAGAGCATTCTTTTAAGCCACATGCGGCTACACTCGCCAGTTGCATGGCACCTTGCAGATAAAGCCAATGTTTATCTATACTACTTGGGGGGGGGGGGCTGCTAGTAAGCATTGACTGTAACTTATTCTGATACTTTAAAGAGGTAGCAGGTACTACCAGTTTTCTCACATCGACATTCAGATGACTCCTTTTATGAACGCCACCAAATCACAAGACGAACCTGACACACACTAACGCATGGTTGGAGTCCAGGTATGTGCTCCAGAAGCAGCGGCAGTCTTGTATACATCCTCGCCACCGGAAAATGACAGCAATATGATCAATCTGAGTCCAAGCTTGATTCACAGAGGGAGGACGCCAGGTAGTGCTACGGAGACGGCTGTGCCGGAAGTTGGTGCTGGCTACAAATAGGTTGCGGTGGTTTGTGTGTAGTTTCCTCCGTGAATTGATTTATTCAGATCACAATATGTGGTCTACCTGATACCATAAATGGTAATCAAGAAATCAAGCATATTGGCATAGAAATACACGGTAGTATAGATGAGGATGTCAAATCCAGGATCGGAATAGGAGCACAGACATTAGTCTGAAATTACCTATGGGAATCTACTGTACTCAGAACAACAATATAACCCCGATTTTCAACATTAATGTCAAATTAGCGCTTCTATAAGATTCACAGATTTGACGTGTATTTTCCGTTGAGTCGGAATCCTTGGCCTCTCTTGACATGATGGCTCATAGTATGGACAATACCCACCTTAAAACCAACTGTGACTGACTGAATTTCGGCATAGAACTTTGTATCAGAATGAAGCAGTTCAAGATGCTACACTTCATAGATCACATATACAAATTAAGAAAGATAAGGAAAAGCAAAGCAACTATAACACCTATCATGCTAGCTGCTGATATTAACCTCGGGAGACAGGGAAGGTCGGTCGTGAGGCTAGCAACCCCATCTCATATAAACAACACCACTGCTAATGAAACTTTAAAAAAACGGTTGAAGCCCTATGTTCCACTCAGAAGGCACGAAATCTGAAATAAGAGTAAATCAGAATCGTACTTATTGATATTTCATGAAAATATTGTCACCGTAGATATCATTACTTGGCCGGAATAAATGATACTAACCAAACACTGAACAGATATAAAGCGGCTTCCGAAAAGTATTTCAATTTCCGAATTACAACTATACTAGGAAGCAAAAGCCTGTTGAACATTTTTCAGAGATATTCATCATTGAATTTTAATTACGAGTTTTGTTTAATTAACCAGACTTCTGATCACTGTGATACTGATTTCCAACTCTGTGAACGGCATTCATGTAATTGAGAACGATCTTGGGACATAACACTAAAAGTCTCGAGCCACTGGTTCTTCTTCGATCTCAATACAGCCAGTGTACACCTCACTGCGTGGCTGAAAACAGCAATCAAAGGCGTTATGGACTGACGTCATCTTTTAGTGGGAGCACCCCTAACGATTTTCCAATCGAATGCCACCAGCTAATATCTCTCGATGAGGAAGGCGATGGTTCGGCTTGAGTTACACATACCCCATCCATCTCAATCAATGCAGCTACACAAGCTCACCAGTGAACTTTCCCTTCTAGCCTAACGATATTATTACCATACTTTACTACCTAATACGAATTAGCGAACACAGACTCCTGTCGTGAAAAAAGTTTTCAATTTTTATATGTATCTCGATTTCAACAGTAGTCTCATAACCATGAAGAAGGGCGAGATAAGCTGCCGCACAATGGGTAGCATTATGCCTGAACACAAGATAGATGAAATTCACAGGTCTTTCCTGTCCGTGTCGAAACTTCCTCAGCAATTCTGAGATTATATAAACTTTCCAAATAGGCGAAACAGTCAACACACTTAACCATCTTTAAACTAAGCGTCAGTGCAGAACAGTTCTGAAACATCATCTAACCTTTGATATGCAAAGCATTTCGAATTTTCTGAAACCATAGGTTGCCACCACTTCACATGTCGATTCCCCATTAGCTCCTAAGTGACTGCATGAGTTCGAGCAGTGCTCTGGTTAGTAACATGCTTCCTCGGTACTCCCTCCGCGACCAAATATTGCCACAATAGTGTCCAGTCATCTCAAATGCCACTTTTAGGTCAAGAAGTATGTGGAATGTCGGATGCCGGTTAGTATGCCCATGTGCTAGCATCTATCGGAGGATGAAGATATGATTCGATAGATCCTTGCCCTGGTTCAGGTTATTCCGAGTACTGATCAACCCAGATTCCCACGCATAACCTAATATGACAGTTAACTTAACCAATAATTCATTACCATCCCCTTCAGGGACTCCTGTAGTTAATCTATCAGGTCCAACAGTTTTGCCCTAAGGCTATATGACAGCTTTTGGAACCTCAGTTACAATTGGGTGACCGTCGTCCAAGGTGTGGGATGGTGTTTGATGCTGGGTCATTCTAGCGTGTCTGTATACCAGTTAAACTACCCCTCAAAGTGTTCTTCGTAACGTCGTATTTGTCCATCCTGAGAACCTACCCGCCTCACTACTGATTCTAAATATCTGCCTGATACTACCTACCGCTGAAGTCTTTTTCATCTCGATAGCTTTTGAAGCCTGCCGCTTTTGAAAAGACTTTTAATCCGTTTGCATATGAGCTGTTGTCATTCCTCGTCATGTTTGGAACCGGCTAAAATCAATCTACTTGGATCTAGGAATGCTGGTGAAACAACAAAAACCCACCAATATATAGTAACCTTTGGTTGTAGGTTATCAACAGGTTTTAGTACTCATTTTACAGCTGGCTAAACATTATGCCAGGCCTCCTCAGCGTAACTTTTACTATCACATTCACATACGGGTTTAAGTATTTTCTCCTTCAATAAAGACTGTGTTGGTACGTAGAGACTTAGTGGCTGCATATTTTTTATGTCTGTTCAGTCGTAGGTAGTGCATGCAAGGACTAGTGCGTAGCTGGTGTCTAAACAAGTGTCGTAGAAGGACAGACAATTTTCTGATGATAGGTTATACCTACTGGATCTGTTTGTGTCCATCGTTGGTGTGATGTTGGCAATCTCTAGATGAGATAAGCTCTCACTTGATGTTTGGAACGTTGACGGTTAGTCAGCGTGGGTGTCACAGATGTACTTTTCCGACAGTCACAAATCTCTAAATTGAGCAATGAGATTACCTGATAGAGTGAGTACACCTCAGTATTTTGCTTTTAGAAACAAACTGGACAGCTTTCACATGCGTTCCCTAGTGTGTTGAATCTACATTGATTTATTCAGGATCCTCTGAAGAATATTCAACTTTATAGCATTCGTTAAATGAATAGTCTACTTTTAATTCAATTAATTAGGGAATCTACAGCAACATTCTTTTATATGATTTCAGAACATGTCTACTTTTCACACCATGTCAATATACTGGAATAGTCGCTCGCATAAAGACAGTAAAATTCTGGGTGCTGATAAGGATACTCTGTTCGCTATGAGCGATTGAGTCGCAGTAACTTTTAATCAGTTGCGTGTATGAACCACAATCGATCAGACGTACACGGAAACTCTCGTAATGCCTCTAGGAACCTCTGAATATAACTGTATATAACCAATGTATGACCAACCACTGGTAAATTGATGACCTGTGCGTTGTAAGCTAAACTAACCGGTAACGTCTAGCCTGTTTGAAGGAAATAAGCACAAATAAATTCACTATGTTCCTCTATAAAAGGTTTCCCACAACTATATGGAATATAGAAGACAACAACTACATATCTCACGAGATTACCAACACAACTAAAACACGCTGACGTGGTAATATAAACTGCCTACTCCCGCCCCCTCACTTAAATTCAACGTAAACAAATCAGCATAGGATATGTATGTAATCAATGTGCTGAAAAAGGATAGTGCAAACTAAGCAATTACAGTGTAACCTTCAAACGACTTGTAATTTGTACATTGATTTGAAATAATAAGCTGAAGTGTGTGATACAGTTCTTCGAGTCTGGTTTCATGCAGAGTACAGGAAGTATATTTACTAGAAATGTGTAATAATCAGGCAAATAGAGATTTCATTTTCTGGTGATTCCAGAGACATTAGTGGAAACAATGTACAGTACATGGTTAGCAGTTAGAACTGGCTGTGAAGGAATAATTGATTATCACCAGGGAAAGACAGCAATATGCACTAAAAGAGGAGAGGACATTATTTTTTTTTCCTAAATCGTTCAACAAGTTATCCAATCTGATTTACACAGAAAAAAATACGAAGCTGTAGAGACAGGACAGGACGACTGAAATGAGTGAGAACTGATCAAAGGTTGATTTTCGGATCGTCGAAGCAGAGGTAAAGGCAGGTACTTTTCAGAAATGAATTTTAACTTCTTACGAGAAAAGCATGCTGAACGCAATAGAAGATTGTTTAGCTGGCCATAGGAGCACAAATATTTTGTCTCCTTGGTCCAGCAGAACCTGGATGACCTGTTACTTGTTGATTCCTTTTTTGAGCTGGGTTTTTGGCATTTAAATGGTTTGCAGCAGGTTTTGACTGACCACTTCCAGAATTCTGAATGCCCGCAGCACCACCTCGTTGATTACTGGGGACTTGACGTACATCTAAAGGTAGAATAAAAATACGACACGGTACTCGATGAGAAATGAAGACATAAGATGAATGAGTGGGTAGGACAAATCAACAGTTTAATTAAATATCTTGAGTTTTGTATTCTAGTTTTTATTGTCACCAGCTACTTATTTAAAAAATGGGCACAAAAGTAGGACTAATGTACTAGTTAAGTACACGATAATGCTCAGAAGTCTCTGTCTTCACATAGTGTTTACGACAGCTGTCGTGAAGTGCAATGTGAACATATCTACCCTACACAAAATAAAAATTTATTGATTTAAAACTCTACCGCAATTTAGTTAATGTAAACATACCTTGTCTAGTGTGGGCATTATGGTTGGCTTGAGATCTCGGCTTCATCTGACGCCCTCCTCCAGCATGGCTGTTGTGTTCAGACTCATTTTTTTCCTCGTCTTCTTTATTTGAGCAACAACTTGATGAATTATAACCATCTTTATTTGAGACATGACCATTTTCAGGATGAGTAGGAGAATTCAATGATTCGTCGTTGCTACAATTAAATTGATTCAACGGTAAAGCACATTTAGTCCAAAGAATTAAGAATTATATGACAGGATATCAGTAGATGGAGAAATCGCTGAACAAAACATTTCACTAACCCATGCAAAAATCTGGGTATCTATAGTATCCTACCCTTTCTTCGACAATTTACTTCCAGGAATTCAACAAAATGAGATGACATAAAGTAAATTGCAGTTAAATATAACCTACTGCAATAACTATGATCATAACTACTACATCATTCCTATATAAAAGAAATTTAACGTTAACTACTGATTAAGTTACTGACTAAACATCATGTTGTACATCAAGAAGTTTAGCAATCACGAGCATATCCAAACACTTGATAATGGAGCATACCAACGGTCTGGGATTTGAGGTTACTACCTGGCCACTCAGGTCCTAAATGGGACGCGCCTCAGACCTATGGCTCATTGAGTGGGAATCTAAAAGTGACAAAACGTGAATACAATCCAGTTCATACTAACCACCACAAAATTCACTAAATTTACGCTGTTTCATTTATGACTATTGCCGCGGTTAACCTGATCCCACTTCAGCTAAGATTACTCAATAGCACAGTGTGTATAAAATATGTTACAACCAATCGACGGAGCTGAGCCTCATCGATTGAAATCTCCTCCTTACCTAACCTTGTTCTTATTGATGCTGTTACAACTCCTAGTACTTAAAATTAAAGGTGGGCTTTCATAATTAAAAACTCTTAATCTTTTCTTATCTTCCAACAGGGCGAAGAGTTGGTTGATTAGCTTATCATGGCGATACTGAAGGTGATGCCGAACGAGGAAAATTATCATCCCAAAGACAAGTAATAAGTGCCATACAAGTTGTTGGGAGATAATGATAGTTATGTTACAGCATTTTCAGCAAATGGAAAGTGTAAATCGATGTCCCGATTTTAACAGGGATATATGATCAGTTTACCAAAGACATAGAAGACAGAAGCTAGAATTACCTTGGAATATCCTCAACATGTGCGACCACGTCCTTGGATTTTAATATGGATGGTGGATTTTCAACACCCCGAAGCCGATCCAACTCCTGCAAACTTTCAACTTGAAATTCCAAAAACAACTGTGTGTCACGTATGGCCTGTTGAGTGCCTGTTAACTGAAATGAAACGTGTTCATGATCCTCTTCGGAAGGTTTAGAAATTTTGATTCCAACCAATCCTACACGATCTACAATATGCTGAACATGACGACGGCCTGATCCTAGGATAGGACCAACATATGACTTCGGTATCTGGACGACTTCTTGAGAGAAGTCAAGCAATTTTTTGGCATTCTTAACAGCTTCCTCAGTCTAAAATGAACAAAGGTTATTACAGGCAGTTAGCGCTTAGTTCATGTAATGTAATAAATGGAAAATTGGAAATGAATAAACTACTGAGTATATAAAACGAAACCATTTAAACAAGGTATGAAAAAAAATTTAAGATTGCAAACTAAGAGAAATGTCGCTTTAAACAGCTACAGTTAAAAATGACACTTCCTTGACTTTTCTGCTGGTATCCTCCTCCAGAAAGATAATTGCTTCAGTCTTCCGTAAACAACTTGGCAGAACCCACCGAAGGATAATAGATTAAAAACTGAAGACACTGAAGCTACTCTATAATTATATTTTTTTAGTATCACTAGCCAATTAACAAGTTAACTTATTAATGCGAAATAGTTTTTTTTTAATACATATCCACAAGCAAGACATGAGACCACTTTATTACCGCATCCATTCATTTTACTTTAGAGGGGAGAAAGAGACGAAAAGCTCCATTTTAGTGGTATGAAATAAACACCTTCAGATTGCTCATCTTGCGGTAGACTTTATGTAGCATTCTCAAAAAACTAACTAGTATTAGTGTTGCGTGAACTCGGGAATATATTAGTATTGAGAAACCTGACTGGAATCTTTCGCGGTGCGAATGATTTACTTAATTTTTCTCGGAACATAATATGTAACTCATAAGCAGTGTCTAGACTGAAAGTGCATCCCTAGAGTGATTTTGGCAACAGGAAAATAGGGTCAGGTAAAGTGCCCCTCTACAGTTAAGTCATTGTAAAACCGATTCGAACTTAGTTACTCGGTAATGGTTTGAGCCACACTTATCGAGTGGGGGCTAATGATACTGATTAGTTGCCCAGACCTCGGTAGGTGGAGAGGGATTCAAACCTGGGACCCGTTGACTGGAAGTCCAGTGCCTAAGGCAGTGAGCGACATTTCCATCACAACTTTTATCACTAGTTCACAATATGAACTAAAAGTAAAATTTGTCTTCTGTTTATTTCTGAGATGGAACTTATTTTAGCGATAGCGCTAACCAGTCTTTTTCTGTGTCCTAAATGATTACTCATTTAAAATTTATACAGCAATGTCTACAGGTAATGGACAAACTCCTAATCAACCCCACATTTCAGTATTTATACATCCTGCAGGTAATGTGATACAGCAGTAGTTGTAAAAACTGGTTATGGGTTTTGAAGCTACAAGATGCAGTCAGATTCGGAATTAATTATTAAGTGAAGCAGTCAATTTGCCCTTTGCCCCGGAATGTAAAAGAGGATAAGTTCTGAGATCTATCTATCAGCTACATTTCCTTGAAAAGTATTGTAGTGCACTTGAGTGTCTGAAGCGGACGTCTAAACACTGAGGAAAGTTGGTTTGGGTGATGTACGAAGACTAGATAGCAGATAATAGGGATCGTTTTACACGGCTTATTTCAGATCACACAGTATTTTTAGACCACAGCAACTTCTAGCATATGTATCACTGTTGGCTTACCTGGTGTCTTCACTATGACAATCAGGCTGCCTATCAACCAACCTCAACCCAAGTGAGGTGCATTCATCAGTAATACAAATATAACAGAAGTTTATAAAGCCGTATAGTGTAAAACGAACCAAACTATTAGGACGTGATATTTTGACGCCATAGGTTTAGCGATAGCACTGATAAATCAATGTACAGGATAACTGAGGTATTAGCTAGCATGTGGAAATCAAGTGGTCATATAACCGGAAGAATCTTCCTGTGACAATTATAGAGTTATCAGCTTGACTGACATAGTGTATCTTAGATCTTATGGTCAATAGTTATACGAAGACCAAACAAAATTTGGAAAAAAAAGGAAGGGTTCGGTTTCAGACAACGCCACATCGGTTTGATTTGGTCTTTACATCCCAACAGTTTCTGGGACACAAGGGTACTGTCATCCAGCACCTGCCAGACTTTTTGATTCCATAGCAACATTCGACTCCATCGACGGAGAGGTAGTGCCAATGTTTAATCGTCAACCAAACACTCAGAAAGTATATAACGATAATCGAGACATGCTACTCATGCTATCACGCAACATCTTAGACAGCTTTTGAGACTACTAAGGAGACATAGTTCTTTAAGATGAACACTAAATACCTTGTGCGAAATTCTGGGGCTTTCGCATGAGCTTGGGCTGTCATAATTGTTGATGCTACGGGACTGTTCTACATCAACTCTTATTCTAAAGATAGGGAACGAAATGGTTAAGTGTGTTGACTATTTCACTGATGAAGAAGTTACATAGTGTCTAGGCGACCTCCTGCTGGAGAAATTTCAACATGGACACGAAAGAACCATTTGGTATCTGCCAACTTGCGTCATCTTCAGCATACACATGATAACTGAACAATTACAGACAAAGACGACTAAACTGAGCGGTATTGCGTTCCAGACAGTCAAGACGGTCTCTGATAACAGATATGAAAAGATTGGAAGCTTTTGGCTATATGTGCCTTTATTCACCTACCCACCTTAGGCGGAACCACACAAACAATAATGTTAATTAAAAATGTCAGACACGCACTGTCCATGAAGAGCTACCGCCTTTCTCGACGGACAGTGCCATGCAAAGTGGCATTAAGATGAAGAAGTTAATGGTAGTCAGACAAAATTACGACAGCAAGGTGTGAAGTCAATGACTGTTGGTCTAGACCGCGTGGGTTCTTCAGGGTGTTAAAAATCTATGTTCGAAGACCCTTTATAACACGGATCACAACCGTTTACGACTGTCCTGATATATTTACCAATAATGATTTGGTTATTCTCCCTCAAACACACTGTCCACTGTAGTTTCACAAAATCTTTACTCGGTTTGGTTCCACATATAAACTGATTCGATTCCAAGAGAAGTTCTACGTTGTTTTATCATCGATCAGTGAGTGACAGAGGTTACGCCTTAGTCATTTAGAAGCGGCAGTAAGACGGCATATTGTATTTGGGTCGACGACCTTCGGAAAGACACCTGAGAGTCTGGAGAGGGTATCTTATAGAAAACTATGTAACTTACAGTGCTGTGAAACATAGTGCCTTACGGCCAATTAACACCAACACCAAGTGAGATGGGAGTCCACAGGATAACCGCCGTTACGACTTGCCCCGGATACCATCAAAAACGGAGACGACACCCTAATCAAGCTACTGGAAGAACCGTTTAAGAAAGTATGGAGTGAACTTGCACCAAGACCATAACCATGAAACCCCCGTTGAGATAATCTGTGCATAGGAGTATCGGTCGCATCAAAAATAAATGTTTGTGCAAAATAATCAGGCCATCATTTATTTCTCTGGATTCTCTTCAGTTGCTTACAATCCAAAAGTTGATTATGTAAGTGTGCACAGGACTTTGTTATACTTGCAAGGACCAACATGATTTTTGTTAGCAGAGGCAAATGTGAATAAACAGTGTACAGAAGCCTCACTTATATAACTTATGAAGATCAAAATGCATATATGGAAAGTTAATGGTCTAACACATTGAAAATTGAGTTGCACAGTCGAGAAAAGTTGATGATGAGTAGTAGTGTGGTGAGTTTAACTCAAGTCAAAGAAACAAAAAGAATTGAATTGCACCAAGGTAAAAGTGGGAGATTAGGTATTACTTCAGAAATTTATTTATTAAGTCTAGGCGAGGACTGCAGGAATATCACCTAAATCATGAAAAATATTAGATCGTATTATACTGGAAGGACTGAGAGATGCTCGGGATGGAAAAATCCGCCCGCAGCAGGCTGGGTTTGCGAAAAACTTGGACAGACATTACACATCACCGAACTTAATCCAGAACGGCAGCCAATTCTCTTCAACTCAACTTCATCGGTTCCGAAACAGTCTTCAACAGCGTCGGTCATGAAGCGATTAAGCAACTACGCGGTAGTGTGTAAACCTTAGTAAACTTCACTTAATAGATATAGGATGGTACAACATGCCAAGTGATGTACAAAGGGAAACTCGGTAAAGCGTTTGAGTTGAGGAAAGGAGGAGGACAAGGATGTCCATTATATTCCTGACTGTGCTGGACTGGATCATGCGGTAGATCATGAAACGGAGACGACAGGATAGGTATACGTTAAACAGACAAAAAGATTTTCGGAAATGTCAATTTGGCGAATGACCTACGTCACGTGTCCAAAGAAACTCGGAAATTTACAAGCTGCAATCAACAATTTGGGAGATGAGACAGAGAGGTCAGAATTCAGGTAAAAATCATTCTCAACAAGTGACGAAACTCTACCTCCTCCTTTCTACATTTGTCTTTCCACCGCATACAATGGGTTGACAGTAAATACATTCTTAATGGATGGCAGGAGCAGACCGATCTGGCAGCACTACATAACTGAACTCATGACCGGTAGGGCGCATTGGAAAAATTCTTAGATTCTCGTATGAGGTATTCAAAAGACCTCATTTTGTTAACTTCCACCTTGAAAGACGGTGTTGTCTGCTTACTTCAAGTCAACGAGATTTTTTTCTGTTGGCACGTTAATCCCTCAGACAGAGTTGATAGAGGTCAGCCCTACCAGTACATCTTTGGTGAAATTAAATAAAAATAGTAACATTTGAAATCCCTGACGGACGCTACTGGTTGCCTTCATTCCAGGTGACAACTTTTCGTATTCTTTTACACTGCTATAAGAGTTCAATGATAGTACCCTTGTTAGCAAGACACACTTTCTTGACAACCCTATTACAACCATATATTCCCATATCACCTTTCGATCGACCGAGTGGAATACCGACTTAAGCAGAAAATATTTGACAAGTGCTGGACACCCGTGTTTCTGGATCTGTTGGAGGCTGCAAATTTACACTGTCGTTCAATCGTAGAACCGAGTTTATTTTCGTGAAAAGCTCTGAGCCAACTGCTGAGAACACAACAAATCTGAGACGGATACAGATCACTGGCTACGTACATGCTGGAAACTCTCAACTGTTCCCAAGATTTGTATCAAACAACACATATAACAAGAAAGAGGTCAGATTTCCAAATATATAACAACGATACCGAAGCGGTTAGTTCGGTTGAACTAAATTCCATGCTATGTATGGTCCAAAATTGCTGAATTTCATGAAATGTGAAATGTTTGAGTTCGCTTTATTATTAAACACTTTTTGTACTATTCAGTAAGGTGACATGAACTAGCTTAAGAGTTATGTTGCGTAGGCTTACGGTTACCGTTTGTCAGAATACCACTTATTTGTAACTGCATTAAACCATTTACTCATAAAATCTCAAGACGATTAAGAAAGATGAGTCTGACACCTGTATTAATAAAAGATACGGGGTAGTGGAGTCTTAATACGATCAATACTAATTAGAATCGAAGTGTTAATAAGTTCCAGAATTCGATATCCCTCTCTAGCAAAGTTATACTTAAAGCAACAGTAAGCACCAATGGAAAAATGATCTTGGAAGCACCAACCACATGACAAATGTTTTGCTTATAAAATACACTTAATCTTGAAAATAATGAATTAAAAACTGTCAAACAGGATTCCTTTCTCTCATGTGTGACAAAAATACCTCTCATTGTTGAATCGGAATATCAACAGAGTAATGTAACCAAATTCTGTACATGTAATTATCTAGTCTTCTAACCCTAATCTTTCTTTAGCCTAACCCTAACGTGGAAATACCCCTAAACCAATTCTAATGTTGCCTTCATTAGGTCACCCTAAGCTTAACCTATCCTTAGCCTAAACCTTGACTTAATCTTTCACAGACCTAACCTCAAACTTGCCAGATATTCCATTGAATGACATAACACCTCATTAAGCATACTTTATTCATGACCACAGTGTAATATAACGGGTTTCACTAAGTTGCTCGCTCGGCATCCCAAGTTCACTGGGAAGGTCGAACTCCATTGGTATTTACTGGTGCTTAAAATTTTACTTTGCCCACTTTCTAAAGCTTCTAGCCCTTTGGGGCATTGAAAGATTTTTACTAAAATTTTTAACGTGTGAACATTATTAGGTAAACTATGTACCGATATTAAGGCGTACGAAAAGGAATTACTGCACATCGTTCATTTTGACGGCTTTTAGACACAATAAGACTGCTTTAAGGCTTGCATATATGAATATTTCACGACAAACACTTAACACACTAACCTTTCCGGATATTCGGATATTACCGGTTTGACGATCGAGTTTGACAGACAGCACACCATCAATCGCACTGGCACGTTTAATGTTGAAGCCCTGTGCACCAATCGCATGATGAATTAGATCCAATGGAATTAGAAACTCCTCCACATAGGGTGACTGCTAGAAAACTATTAAGAGAACCAAGTGGACGTACCTGATTGAGACGTGAAGCTACCAACTTTTTGGACAATTCCTCAGTTTGCTGCAAAATAGACACTTTTTGTCGCAACATATCCACAAAAGTATTATCGATAACCGATGCCCTGTTTACTGTAGAAAGATCCGTAGAAATAACTAGCAGTCGCGACATCAAGTTATAGGTTTCATTGTCTCCTTTCGTAACTGGGGATGTAGGTTTAAGGGTGTCAGGTGCTAATGTGATAAGGACAGGGAGACCACACCTTCTAGCAAAATGATAATAATTGGCAGGTTCCTTGCAACTAAAACAAAAGGAATGAAAGTATTAACCAAACAGAACTTCAGGAAGGTGATTATTAATACTTAATGATAAAAGTATACTCACTATGGTGCAAGCTCATCTGGAATATCAATAGCGTGCATATGGAATGATGATGCACTGAGATTATGATGATGACTTCGTGGCCTTAACTGATGCTTTTCCACAATATCAGTCTTCTCTAGAGACGACGAATGGGGGACACTAATGCGATTGTTGGAGAGCACAGCTATTTCGTCCGAACTGCCATTTTGCACAGAGAAATCAGCCGCCAATTCAACGATAACAAAGCTTCCACCAACTTTCCTGACAACAGCCGGCCACCATGCTGAAAGCTTGGAAGCAGTGGAATCACCTGATGACTCGACCTCTGTTGACTGATCTCCGGAACAGCTAATCAACACGTCAACTTCATGTCCTTGTACTGGCTCTAAGACTGCTCCAGGATCTTTAGGCGGAAGTCGGAGAGATGAGGGAGGGAGGGTAAATTCCACAAGGGCTTTCGTGTGGGTTGAATCCAGAAGCGTTACATTATATTCCTCTAAGGACCTCAGCCCATTTATAACACCCTAAAACAAAATTAATGAGAGTAAGAACACATACTGGGTAATATTCCCCATACTTCCCTTCAACTTCAACCGGGATGCAGACCTCCAACTGAACCATCTCCAGAATTTAGAAAGCCCACGAGAATGTACCGTGTTGATCAGACAACCAGCCCACAACTGTGTTCAATAAAATAACGCTACGACATATTTTGACTCAAAATATAAATATCTAAACTTTTTTCGACTTTTATTTGAATTACTATATTTACCTTTATTAAACTGTACATTGTTAGCTCAACGTTTCAAGAATCCCAGTGCTAGCAGTTTTCGGAAGTGTATATTAAAGGTAACACATAATACTCTTCAGTCTCTCGAATTCTTGGGTAATTTTTCGTTGAGTTACCATATTTCACATTTAGGTAATCTTCTATGTGGATATTGGAGGACTTACAGTTAATAATAAATAACGAATCTATTCAGCCATGTACTGTATTTTAGTAATACGAACCCTGAAAGAAAAAAATCAACAACTCATCAATTTTCGTCCAAATATCCAGTATCATTTTTGTGAACTAGTGTCTTGGTTTTTGATATTTGGCAAACTTCCCCGTAGTGTATCTTGCCATTCGACTGACGTAGCTTTGGTTGACTCCAGTGGGGAGCGGTAAGTGAATTGTAGGGTGCGATATTTTAGGACCATATCGCCTCTATAATTGGAGATGATCTCCTCACCTCAGTCATCCGTTGTCGTCAAAAAATAAATAACAGAATAAGCGATACAATTACTGTAGATTACATAGGCTTAAAAGTAAAAGCGTACAAATACAGACAATGAAATTTAATACATAGAAAATGAATAAAAATAAGATAAAGCAGAATAAGCGCATAGGTAGGTAGAGTAATCAGAAGAGTAGGACAAAGATGAGTGGGCAGTGGTGGGGGATAAATCTAGATTATATCCATTATTAGAGTGCAGCATATGAGTTTCAAGGGGACAGTCCATTCGACCAAGATGCTCAGCTTCAGCTTAAAGCTATCCACGGAAGGCACAGTAGCCACAGCCTGTGGCACAGAGTTCCGAGGACAGGAAACTCGAAGCGGAGGGAAACGGCAACACACCCCAGGCCTTGCCAACTAATGCTCGTGGGTTACCACGTGAAACGCTATAATCCCTTAATGGAAAAATACCACTGTTTGTATGATTCTAATCATTTGTAACCTTGCACGCAGTAGTCAGGTCACCCCAAAGCCGACGGTGGCTAAGTGTAATATACCTAATTTCTGTATTCTTTCGTCAAGTAGTTTATTCTGGAAACCTACCACCTCTTCTGTAATAATGATAATAACAGCTTTATTCCAAACAGTATTTGTGGTACAGGTATGCAATTTTCAGCGTGCATTACAATACTGCGTCTAATTACCTCATAAATTTTATAAGATTTTAAAATCAAAAAGCACCTGTGATTTCCTTTTCACCCATCTTTGAACCCTTTCCAAAAGACTGACATACGATTTGGGTAATGGTATTGAACACTTCATGGTGCAGTCGTGCGTGTGTCTCATACAATCTCAGAAAAAGCTGAAAGATGGTAGGACCTAACAATCCAGGCGTAGTGTGAAACCGTATATGCCCTCACCACATCTCCCCTGTGATTAACGCTTGTATCCAGCTTTCCCTCTAGGTCGCAACCCAAGTCACGTCCTAACGTTACACAGGACAAGTTATCGTCACACAGGGGACGAATGACTGTTTGAGGCGTGCAAGCACGTAGTAGCACCACCTTGCATTATTCGGACTAGAAGCGGTACCACTAGCCGGGGTACAGTCTTCGAAAATTTTCGCAGACCCTCATGCAACCTGCCTCGGTCTTCGAAGCGCTTTGTCACCCTCACAATCTTTGCGTCGTTAGCGTGAAGAAACATCAAGTAATTCGGGTGACATTTCAGGTTGCTGATTAGAAGTGAGAAGACTGCCAGCCCCAGGGTAGAAACCTGTTGGACTTCCCATGCCGAAATGTGCCAGGATGATCAGATACGACTGACTTTGGCACATATCCTCGTAGGTAGTACTCCAGCCGTGTCAGAAGTGGGCTACATTACACGTCTGACTTATTTTGCGAGAAAAAAGTTCGTGATAAACTGCGTCAAATGCCTCCTGGTAAAAGCTGCTTGCAGCATCATAAAGCGTCGTTTTGAACAACGGTGTAAAGATTTTAGCCTATTCGTCAAGCAGCAGTCAGATACCGCTGATGCTATTTACAGACTCATGATTAGTGAGCATTCCACTGAAGGGTACAGTAAACAGATTGACTGAAAACGAATTCTAATTCAGGTTCTAGATACCGAGGGTCTCCAAACCAACTTTTGGAGAATAATGTTGAAAATCCGACTGTTCACTCCGTCCTGAATATTACGTTCGGGGCAGCAATCAGACCAATATCTGCAGTTTAAAGACAACAACACTGATGAGTGTTTGGATTTCCTTTTTAAGAGATAGCTATATAACATCTGTTTAAAGGTAAACCACACAGAGAAGAACTGATGGTCTCTAAGGTCCTGTATGTCCCTGCTGGCGACACCACACATTGCCACACATTGGGCAAGGATTATGCAATAGTGCGAAACCCCATGTGCACATCCACCCTCAACAGTGCAGTGGTGTGGACTTGTACAAGACCATGAGGGGTGGAGTAGCGTTAGCTATATTCCTTTTTTCAGCCAGATATAACGGTTAGGCTGTTCAAACCAGTGCATTCAGGACAGTCTGTCGGATGCTGTATTGACAGCTGAGGATCTAGCAAGAGAATAAGGCTAAGAAGGAACAACTAAGACAATATCTCATCCAAGGCTGAGCCCACATTTCACGTTATCCCTCAGGCAGGTACGACCAAAGGTTTCTGAAGCAGAATCCTACATCAGGATACTGTCTTGAAGGTATGGGTAGTAATGAAACAGCCTCAGTCGCAGAGTTGTGCCAACAACACATCAGAAAGCATAGTGGAGATATTTACACGGCATAATTGTACCATGCGGTAAGAATAACGAGACTGAGATGCTCAGTGAATGCTGCGTGCCAGAAATACATGCAACAAATGACAAAAGTTCGGTGGAGGCAGTGAACATTGTTGTACAAGGACACTTTCAGCGTGTCCATTATCAACAATATAATTATAATAATATTTAGTCCTTGTCAAGGAACTTATCCCTAAGTTCCTATTATTACAAAGACGCTCCGCACCGATGAGTACTATGTACTTTCTTCGACTTTAACACCAAAACACCAGTATTGTAAGAAGGAAGTTATATTGTTTGGCAATTAAAAGGAGAATAATACAAGTCTATAAACAAATGTTTTTTACGAAATTATCATGTACTTTTATTCGTTTCCGTTCGCCTTCGTCGAGGGTGAGGGTATACGTTATAACGTGGTTATATTTTCCGCGACTCAGGTTTTTTCGTCTTTCATTGGCTAGAACGGTGGCGGTCAATTGGATATTTGATTTGTCCTTGGTAGGTCGTATCGTGTGAGGTTTTGTGTGGTTGTGTTATGCGCCGTTTGCAAGCAAATTTGACAAAGATAGATGTAATATTTGACTATTTTAACATTGTTTCACTGTTTTTTACACAGATACACTTCTCTTTTCGCTATGAACTCCCTGGAAACTGGTCAGGCATTATGGTTCCTATCAGTGACTACCATCCCGTGGGTGCCAATGCATTTCTTGAGTTGTGGTTATAGGAACAGTATTTCCTACTTCGTGATTTCTCACTCACATAGTCTGGTATCCTGTGTTTCTTGCGACTTAGCTGTCACAAGCTGTTGCAATAATGTGCTTTGTTAACGAGCCCTTTTTCTAGAATTTCATCGCAGGTAATCAGTGCGAGCGCAAGCAGCACATATGTAAGAAGTTACAAAAGCATTAGAAGACTTTCAAAAGGCGTGAACTTCATATATTGCTAACAGTGACGAACTTTTCCGCATACCAGTATGTGGATACGTTCACATGCGTATAGGAAATCCACGAGTGAGACATTGTATTTTAGTGGGACAGCTTTGTGAAACTTTCATCTAGCTTGTATGTTTCGCTCTAGTATTTCTGTCCCTCAGACCACTAACAAAGTATTATCAAATGTATTCTTGTAGTATGATTCGATGGCACAATTACTGGCAGTTAATAATATTATGTATGTGTTATGTTCATGATATTTTCTGCACCATTAACGTGCTCCACATTTCAAAAAGAGTGTAACTTAGAAAGATTATACTTAACTCAACTGTGGTCATGCATGTTAATTATTTAAATGCTTAATTTATTCAAGTGAATTTAATCTGTATCACCTTTAGAAATGATAAGTCGCAATGAGGTCTGCCAGTTAATTAAATTCAGTGGAAGCAGATGTAGCTGCATTCGTACAAAGATATCCGAAAAACAGTGATGAGCGTCTTACGACTTATAACCAGATACATTTACATAATCAGTATTAGGAATTGATTCTACATGCAACAACAAGTGAAGGTAAGTTCACTCATTCATGTATAACCATGCAGATATTCTGTTTTGCAGTTTGTGATACCGGATAGCTTTGGATGTGGGGATAGAGTTCTGTTTACTTGAATTTTGGGAAAATTCAAAGGTGACGCACTTCGGACACTGGGCAGTTTCCGTCGAATAATAGGAGATACTTTGCAAACGAAGACTTTCATCTTTGACTGTGCTCAGATAATACATGTAAATAAACTTGTTTGCGTGGCAGTAAAATAAAATTTTCTATCTAATATTCTTGTGTTGTATTTGTTCTGCATGCGGTGGGAATACGGCATGGTAGACCGGTACTCCCTAGGATATGAACTCGTTACTGTATATAGGTGTAATTCTGTAGGAACACTATCGATCGATATAAGTAGTGAATTATAAGTACTTTACTCAAGCCCAAAAATCTGCCTAAAGTTACGCGATTACGTCTCCTAGTCATAGGGAAGTCTGTAGGGACCAAGTACACAAATACTTCAGTATTTGAAAAATAAGAAATGAACTTAGGCACTGCAATTGAGTCGATTTCTTAAAAGGTAAAGTGTATTCAAAAGTAGTTCATTACCAATATTTCACTTAAAGCGTGATGTCGATTCATATGATTATGGGTGTTAACTTACAGTGTAAGGTGAAGTGTACACGAGACGAATAATTGAATAGGTTGAGCTGTAGCAATCGTAGTCACACTT